CCCTGCCATGCCTCCCCTGACCCCGCCCAACACCCTGGCACAGCTGGAGGAGGCCTGCCGCAGGCTGGCCGAGGTGTCCAAGCCCCCAAAACAGCGGTGAGTGGACCAGGCCGCAGAGGTCAGAGGAGAGGCAGGGGTGGGGCTTGGAGGCCGAGGGTCCCCTTGCCAGCCTCTCCAAGTGGTTCCCTTTAGTTCCATTCCTTCCGAAGAGCTAACCAGGGTCTACCAAGTCATGCCCAGGAGGAGGAGAATGAATTTCAGTAATTCCTTACAAATCCCATTTTTAATGAATATCTCAAGCATTTAAGGCTGGTAGGATGAGCTTGTAAGAAGCCATGACTGATGGGGAATCTGGAGCCTTCAGGCCTCTGCCTGGGCTGGCAGTGTCCAAACCTGGGCTCCCGGGGTGCTGAGCATGGCTGTTCCAGGCCTCCTAGAGGTCCTGTCAGCACAAGGCCTTGGTTGGGTCTCCCCATGGAGGGAAGTTGGGTCTGTCTGTCCTTAGGCGGCCAGTGAAGGGAGTTCTCTGCTTCCCATTTGCCCTGGGGACAGCAGGCTTCCTTCTGAATCCTTCATGTCCCCAGGTGCTGTGCAGCAAGTCAGCAGAGGGACAGGAACCACTCCTCCACTGGTCAGCCAGGAGCCACGTCCTTCTCCCACCCAAGCCTGGCTGCAGAAGAGTGAGTGTCATTACCTGGCGTTGCTGGGATCTGCCCATGTTTTGAGGGTATTTGCTGTCTGGAGTGGTGATTTTTGAAGACCTTTTTTAGTCTATAAAATCACCTTGATCTTAACATTCTCGACAAAGAACAGTAAACCCAGATGTTGCCGAAAATTAGGATCTTCGGAAGTCCTGCCTGCACTGAGAAATGCATCGTGACTCGTGCACAAGTGTTTGTTCCTTCCTGAAGTGGTAGGTGGGTGGCTCAGGGTGCTTGGGCTCATGTGAGTCACAGGCTGAGACCTGAAGCCATTAGCAGAGGGATAAAAGTCACCCAAACCCAGATGGAAAAAGTTGCCTCTGTTCGGCTAGAAAGTTAGCAAGTTGGAAAAACATCTGTGTCACACTGAGTGGGAAGATGATTCTCCACCGTCGCAGAGATGGAGAGAGGGTGACCTTTGTTGTTTGGCTTGGGGGAGACAAAATATCTTCTCTAGTCGCGTCACTATTCCTCTCGTGAATTTACAGTCTTGCAAGGTAGACAAGGCGGCCTGGCTTCGTTTCATTCCAGAATGGATGGTGCATTTAAAAAGTAATCAGCTACAGAGATCAAAAATGGTCTAAATCATTAAAGTTTTCTTTCTTAGCTTCTTCATCGTGAGCGATGTGCAGCATGTGAAATGAGGAGACCTGCCCCCTGTTTTAAGGGGTTGACCTTAAGCCCATCAGCTGTCCAGGCCTGCAGTTTCTTTTTTTTTTGGTTTGGTTTTTAAGCCGCTTTGACTGAGGGCTGACCCCAAGAGGGCCCTGGCATTCTGAGTTCATGCCATCCCTGGGTCTGTCTCTACAGCAAACCCTGATCTGGGTGTGGGTCCCTGTGACTCTGAGATAGTTTCTTGTGTCTCCTTTTCATCAGCAGGCACCCCGTTTGTGCCCACCTGGTAGAGACTGCTCTGTACCCCCATTTGGTGGAAGGAAGTGGTCCCTTCCTGTGTGCCCCATCGCAGATGGCCTGGGGTAGGACTGTGTGTCCACCAGGAGGGGCTGCCCCTGGGACATGGGGGCCCCTCACCCAGACACGCTTGGAGCATATGGCTGTAGCCTCACTTTATCTCTGAAGACAGTGTTTGTAAAGCCTCCGTGTGTGTGTGTGTGTGTGTGTGTGTGTGTGCGCGCGCGCGTGTGCGTGCACATGTATGCATACTTACTGCCTTTAAATGCTGAAGTTCTTGCTTTTCCATCTTATTTTCAGTCACAAAGAGCCAAAGAAACTGGCAGGGGTCCACGCTCTCCAGGCCAGCGAGCTGGTCGTCACTTACTTTTTCTGCGGAGAAGAAATCCCCTACAGGAGGATGCTGAAGGCTCAGAGCTTGACCCTGGGCCACTTTAAAGAGCAGCTCAGCAAAAAGGGAAATTATAGGTAAGAACTCGGTGGCTTCTCTCTGCTCCAGAGTTTGTTTGCTCAGGACCAAGAGCCAGAGTTGCTTCCCTGGCCTGGCTGGACGTGGCAGGGGCCAGGAGGGAGGGGGCCCAGGAACCCCTGGGGAGCCTCTGGACTGGGCTGCCTGATGCTTCACTTCTGTCTCGTCTTCCTCTTCCCCTCACCACCCGCAGAAATAACACAGCAGCAGCGGGGAGGGCTCTGTGGGGACCCGGACGGGCTTTTTCAACCAGGTGAACAAGGCTCCGAGGAGGAAGGAGACAGCTTGCTTTGTCAGGAGAGCTGGGCTGAGGCCATCTTGTGGAGTGGGGTGTCGGGGTAGAGAGAAGGAGAGGACAGACAGACAGACGGATTGATTAGGAGACAGAAAGCCTGCCCTCCTGGCTGGATCTAGAAGACACCGTCCACACTGAAGGCTCGGGTAAGGGCAGAGACCATCGCCTGCACGTGTAGGCCACCTTCTCCTCACTCAGCCTCTCTGCCTGGAGAACCACCTCATTCTGTGTGATGAGTCACGGGAAGGATGCACTTTTGTCCGTGACAGAACAGGCAGGACCTGTGGGTGGGCACCAGGGAGACAGGGCTGGCCGCTCTTCCTGCTGGATTGCTGCCCCCCTCCTGCCGGGGCCTTGGGAAGAGAACTTGCCCTCCGTCTGGGCTCCCCTTCCCCATCTACACAGTTGCAGGTGCCCACCTTGGCCTCCCAGGGCCCGAAAGGGATTCAGGAGCCAAGAGCTGGCTCAGCGTGGGGCAGCTAATTCCTTCACCTCAGTTTATCCAGAGTCCTACCTGCGCCTCCTCGGCTGCCTTCCTCCGGAGGGAACACGTGGGCTGTGCTCCGCTGTATCTGGGGCGCAGCGAGCAGGGGCGGAGGCGCAGTGCCCAGGCACTCAGGGTAAAGAGGAGCACAGCGATGGCCCAGAAGGTGCCAGTGCACTTCGGCCTCGAGCTGGGGATGGGAGCGGAGAACTCTGAGCAGCACTGAGCGACCTGCCAGGTGGTCACCGACTCCCGGACCCAGGCAAGTCCACCTCCAGGCCCTGAGACCTCGTCCCTTCCAGAACAGGCCCCGCACAGCTTCACCGGCTGCCTCCGTCCGGGGCTGATCTGGGCAGGGGCCGGGGCTGACTCCTTTTGCAGGTGAAGGGATGGGGCTCAGGGGGTGGGACCCTGCAGGTGACTTGGTGAGCAAGGTGTGGAGCTGGACTTAGATCTTTCCCTTTTACACCTGGGCAGAGAGAGTTCTGGAAATAAAGCAGAGGGATTGGGGAAAGGGTCTGGCTGCTGCTGCTGCAGCTTTTTCTATCTTGAACAGACACAAGGTGAAGCTAATCACACAAGTGTGCCCCTCCAGGGATTCATTTTGATCTCTGCTCTGACTCGACTGGACTTTGAGTGGAACTGCAGGTGACCTTCAGGGGAGAAGGGCCAGGGAGCGCGGAGCAGAGAGGCTGCGGGAGCCTCCCCATGCTCAGCCACCCCGGCCACATCTGGCTCTGATTTTTTTTTTTCCTAAGGCACACTTAATAAGCCTGTCTTTGAAGCCTCGGCCTCCCCTTTAATGCACAAAGACTTGCACAAATGGTCGACTCGCAAATTCTTTACTGATTGGATCAGGCTGTGGCGAGGCCCTTCCCAGCCTCCTTATCTGTCTACACTTGCTCCCTGGGCCTGAGCTGGACCCGTTGCCCTCCTGGGTTGTGGGGGCACTGGGTGCCATGGCTCGCCCTCCCGGTAGGGGGGGCACTACCCCATTCACTCTACCCAGTAGCCCCCCCAGCACAAAGCCCAGCGAGGATGGAGCTGGGGAGTGGGGGACCTGGGCTGTGTTGGGTAATCTTACCATGGCAGGGGTTCAAAAGGAGAACAGTGCCTCCAGACGTGCCAGATGCTATTGGTGCCAGATGTCAGAAGAAAGCAGAGTTTGCCACATAAAGCATGTTGCAGTGGAAAAGCCCATTTCTTGGAGAAAATGAGGGCAGCCCAGTGCGTTTGAAGTCTTAGAGGGGTGGCCCGGGTCAATGTGGCCTCTCCTCCCTGGAAGAGGTTGCAGTCATGTGAAAGGTCATGGCGGGTCTGCTCCGAGAGGCCGAGAAAGCCCCACGTGGTGAACCCGAGCGGTTTGGGGCTGGGGGCCGAGGGGCATGACTGGGGTGGTGGTGGAACTGGAGCGTCTCTCTTGGAAACGTGACTTTCCCCCGCCGTCCCCAGGCTCCTGTGCGCAGTGCGCCTCCCCGGTTCCTCCCCACCTCCTGTCGGGCGGCCCCAGGGATGCTGACCCCCTCGAGCCGGCCTGTCCGGCCTGATGCTCTCGCTCAGCTGGGGATGCCAGAAACTAAGACCCTTGACTAAATCCAGCTGTTTCACTTTATTTAGCCTTATCTCCCATGAAAGTATTTGGCTTGCCTTCATTAAAGAGGAAAGAAATTTAGCTCTAACCAGGGGGAATTAAACATTTTTTTTTCTTAGAGAAAAGACAAAAACAAAAAAACAGCCGTAACCTTGAGACACACAGTTCCATTTTGAGTTTTGAGAAACTGTTCACCTCCCCACCTCGGGGTGGGGGGGACTGCGACCCTCCCTCCACGAGTGGCCTTTACTGCCTGAAGATGCCAGCTTGCAGGGGTGCGTTTAATCCGTCTGAGGGGTCTCCCTTGCTGGGAACCGGGAAGGATGAGGCCTTCGTGTAGTTTCCTCCGAAGGGGCTTGGGGTGGGCCTGGCCGGGAGGGCAGCACTCTCCCAGTGTGACTCTCCGGAGAGACGCCGGTCATTTGTGTCCATACAATTAAACAGGCTTAAAGAGAGAAGGCTGGGATGGGATAAAAGGAACCTCTAATCAACGGCGTAATAGAAGGGCCTTTACTGTTTGACCCTGGTGGGGTGGGGTGGGAGAGGAGGGGGGGAAACGGGGAGAAGGGGAGAGTAGCGTGGGGCCGGGGCTGTCTGCAGCCCTGGGAAGGATGGGGCTGGCCTGCCTCCTGCAGCGGCCACAGAGGGAGCAGCCTGTCCCCGGGCTGCGCCGTAGACTGGCCGGGAGAGTTGACACTTGGGCTCCGGAGGGTGGGAGGGATGAGGTATCAGCCTTCCCCAGGCTTATACTGGATCCAGGTGGCTGAGTCTGGGGTCTCTGGCAACCCCCTTCCCTAAGCTGCTGCTGCACGTGAACTCTGGGCATGCTTTGACCTTTCCCTCCCCACCCCTCCCTGAAAAAAGGGGTGGGGGAGAAACAAGTAGCTCTGCTCTGCAAAACTCTTCACCGAGTGTGGGGGGCGTGTGTGTGGGTGTGCAGCGGGGTGACAACTGCAGCCTCAGCGCTGTTTGCAGGAGGAGGGGAGGTGTGCCCAGCCTGCCACCTCCAGGGTGCCTGCCTGGCTCTGCCCTCCGGCCAACCCCAGATGGCATCCCAAGCCAGATACGGGCAGAGATCTCCCTGCCACCTGCTGCAGCAGCATTCTCCAGATACCTTAGTCCTCCCGTGTTGAGAAACTTTCACCCAAAGCAGAAAGTGCAGTTTTCACCAAGATGCACTTTGGGTTTCCCTTTTAAGGTATTACTTCAAAAAAGCCAGCGACGAGTTTGCCTGTGGCGCGGTGTTCGAGGAGGTCTGGGACGATGAGGTGGTGCTCCCCATGTATGAAGGCAGGATTCTGGGGAAGGTGGAGAGGATCGACTGAGCCTGGAAGGCCTGCCGCCGGCCAGCGGTGGGGCCGAAGCCCTCCCGCCCGGTCTTGGACGTGAGCGACCTGGACACGACACTTTGAAGGAGAACTAAACCAATGAAGTCGAAGTCTAGGGGAAGAACCTCGGCCACTGGGCCTTCGGGAGGGTGGGGGGAGGTTGGTTTTCATTATTCACGGGCTGGGTACTGAGATAAGAAAAGCCTGAACTATTTATTAAAAACATGACCACTCTTGGCTGTTGAAGATGCTGACTGTATTTGAGAGACTGCCATGCATAATATATGACTTCCTAGGGATCTGAAATCCATAAACTAAGAGAAACTGTGTATAGCTTACCTGAACAGGAGTCCTTACTGATATTTATTGAACAACTGATTCCCGCCCCCGCCCCCAGCCCCAGTTTATGGATATGCTGCTTTAAACACGGAAGGGGGAGAGAGGAAGTTTTTAATTGTTCTATCTAAACTTTGGAGTTGAGCTCGGTGTGCATTAATGATTTCTTCATTAAAAGAGGAATTCAGCTCTACCCTGTGTTTCTCCAAGTGAAGATAGACTTTCTTTTTTTTTTTAATGGTGCCCTTCTATTGACACAGAAATCGGTGCATTTTTTCCCCCGATGCTGCTCTATTTTGTCATAAAGGTCTTTGATGAGGATGCAAGTCACCGCCATCTGCGGGGGCCATCGCGTTGGGTGGGGTGGTGTATTACAGTGGGGGGCGCTGACTGGGGCCCCGGGTTCATCTTGTAACTTCTTGTATCTCCTCACCACAGCTCAGCCCCCAATGGCTGGGGCCTGCTAGAACCTAGTGGTGCAACTTGTGCTTTTATTGAAATGACAATTCCGTGGAGGTTTTTTTTTTTTTTTTTCTAATCATCCTTTGGACCCCCAGCCATCCTGGAACTCCCCCCCCCCCCGCGCTGCAAAGAAGCGAACAGTTGTCGGGGGGACACTTAGCAGCGCATTTTCCTCCAGACGCCTTCATTCTGACGTTCGGGTTTTTATGTTAACTTAATCTGTAGTCTGTTTGCCATCATTACCTGTACTAGACGTCTGTATATATATCGTGCGGCAAAGGAGTATTAATCCACTGTCTCGAGTGCTTGACTGAATCAGTACAGTACCTGTACCTGCACGGGGCCCGCTCCGTGTGTCGCCCTATATTGAGGGCTCGAGCTTTCCCTTGTTTTTTGAAAGGGGTTTATGTATAAATATATTTTATGCCTTTTTACTACAAGTCTTGTACTCAGTGACTTTTGCCATGGCATTTTGTTCTACTTATACTGTAAATTATGCATTATAAAGAGTTCATTTAAGGAAAATTACTTGGTACAATAATTATTGTAATTAAGAGATGTAGCCTTTATTAAAATTTTATATTTTTCAAAGTATCGGCCTCGTCTTTGCACCCCCGGGATGGGCAGAGGCACCTCTCTGTGTGTGAGTGAGCATCCTGGCTTGACTCCCCGCCTGGCTTGAGCCTTTTCTGCTTGACTTGGAGCTGTTCTGACCCAACCTGGGCCTGAGCTGGCGTTTCGAAAAATGACTTCTTCAAACACACCCATCTGCTGACTGGCCACGGTTTGCTTGTCGTGGAGCAGGTGTCGACAGCCTTTCCCCTGATCTCCCCCTCTCCCGCCTGTATTCAGCCTCGTCCTGTCCTCCCAGGCAGATGGCTACAGTCTGGCCAGGTAGGTACAGGTGAGAAGGGGCTTGGATGAGGTCCCCCCAGGAGTCCTTGCGTTTCAATATGTGTCTCAATAGGAGGTGGGAAAACCTCTGAAAATGGTGTGCGGATCTAGAGTGTTCAGTGTCCAGTGTTCGCTGGGCTGTGTGGCCTTGGACGTTGGCGGGCACTGAACAAACACATCTCCCCTCCCTGAGTGCGGGGCTGTATTTCAGGTGCGGGAGAGCAAGTCCATTTAAAGGAGTCCTACGATCAGACCCTTTTTAGAAATAAAGGGTCTGTGATGGCAGCTGGGCTTGGCCTCATGCTGGGGTCTGCGGCAGACCTGGCTGGCTTTCTGTGCCTGCTGTGAACCGGTGCGGGGCTGACCAGATGGGGGAAGGCCGGGCTCCCAGCCGCGTGGGGCTGGGTGCTGGCGGCTGGCGTGAACTTCGCAGCCCCAGCGTGGCCATTTGCTGGGGCGGCTTCTGGGGGAGTGGGCGAGAGGACCAGGGAGTCTGGGCTGTAGGATTCCATGACCGTGGGCCTCTGGATACAGGTTGCTGCACCTCTCCCCTCCTGGCTGGAACTGGGGCCCCCGAACCCACTCCCAGAAGTATAAGTTTCTTTCCAAACCAGAGGGATGAAGAGAGTGAAGCTGTTGCACGTGGTGGTGACGGGGGGTTATGGCTTTTCATCTTCGGGCCTTTTGATTCATCCCATGAGAATAATGAGGTCTCCCACAGGCTTGGGGTTCAGGCAAACCTGGACCCAAGTCTCGGCGCCACTGGCTTCTGGGGGACCTTGGGCACCTTCCAAGTGGCATCTGTGAGCTAGAAACCAGACGCGGTGACCGATCACTCGTGTTTGGACCTCTTCGAAAGGGATCTGTTTCTGCTTCTCATTTTAACAACTGGTGCTCTTCACCTGGCAGGGGTGAGCTTCTGGGATTAGGAACCCTTCACGTTGTTTGTAAAATCACCTGTGCCTTCCTCGACAAGAGGATCTATGGTTTTATTAGAATGTTCAAAAGAATAAGTTAGAGCCCCTGGCACCCTTCCTCCAGCCCCTTGGGTCTCACCTGGGAGCCAAGGGGGCACGGCCGCCCACCCCATACCTCCCCCGCTGATGCTCTTGTGCTCTGGGATCTTCCTTTCCTAAATCCTGGCTTCAGGTCTGATTCACCTACGGGGTCTTCGTTTCCTAGGCGCTTCCGAATGATCTGGCCTTGTTTCTCCGATTAACTGTTCCCCAGTTCATCAGAGGCGGGCCCACTTTGGGCTGTATCACACTGGGGGGGGGTCGTGGTCTCCTCATCCACTAAGTGGGGACAATAAATGTGCTGGTGAAGGGAGGGACGTGTCCTGGGACCTCCCCCCGGGCCCCTGGAGCACTCACGGCTGCATCCTCACTACCTGCATTATTACCAGCTCCTCGTGGGGGAAATTCCACCCCTCCCCCTCTTCCTGCTGCAGCATCTGGGCTCCGGCACCCTGCTCCTCATGCCCTGGCAGCGAAGCTGGAAGTGGGGGGCCATGTGCTGACAGGCTGCTTGCTTGGGAAACGGAAACTTTTCAGCTGGAGCCTCGCTTTGTCCCCAGCTCATCTTTAAATTTTTCTTTATTAAGTCTGACCTTACACAGTACTTGGAAGTCCTGTGTGGACCCTCACCTAGCAGGGCTGTTCATGCAGAGATGTGGGTTTTTTGGAAAAAGAATCCTGTTTTATTCTCCCCACAACCCTAGGATATGTTAGGACCACAATCATGCTGTCGAAAGGAAGGAAATTGGAAATTACCCCCAAGAAAATAGTCCAGTCTATTAGAATAACTAGATAAGATCAGTTTTTGTTTATTTTGCTGTTGTTGGTTTTGTTTTTTTTTTTGGCGGGGGGGGGTGTTCCTCTTTTTTTACCTTTAGTAAAGAATTCGGTTGAACAGAAACTCCCCAAATTACATAGAAGCTTTAGAAGAGTGGTTTACATCTTCCTTAACAATTATTATCTCACTTTATCAACCGGATTTTCTAAAAATCTGAGACTGAGCCTCTGCTGTGTTCTGTGACATGTCTCAGAAGTGGGCAGTAGTGATTTAGTTTGAGACACACACCAGCACAAAACAAAACAAAACAAACAATGCATTTTGGTAAATGTTGCCTGGAGTAGTCAGCCTGATTTGTAGAGTCTTTAGTTCCAAACAGGTAGAATTTGCACAGAACTTTAGGGCTGGCCACTTAGGAGGGGGTGTGTGTGTGTGGTGGTGTGTGTGTGTGTGTCAGGGGTGGGGAGGTGCTTTAGAAGGTACCTGACACAGAAAGAACAACTATCCCCTGAACAGAGCCTCCTTCACCTCGTCCAATGCCCAGTTCTGAAAACATAAACCCCCTGTGCTCCGTCCACACTGACTTTTATTTCCCCTAAAGGGGCTCAGCTGCTCAGGGCCTTTGCATATGCTGTTCCCGCTGCTGGGCACCACCCCCTATGCCACCCACCCCACCAAGCGCTTCCTGAGGTTGACTCCTTTTCAGCCCTCAGGTCTTGACTTAAATGTCAGAGGTCTTTCCCGACCATCAGATCCGCATATATCATCACCTGATCCTGTTCATCATAAAATATCTTTCATTCTTTCACTGCACATTCTTAGAATCATGCAATAATTGTTTAATTGCTTACTTACTCATCCATGAGGCAGGAATTAATGTTTTTATTACTATTATCTGTGTAACATCCAGCATAATGCTTGGCACCTATTAGGTCCTCAATATTTGAGGACTCAAAGGAAAAAGAAAGTAAATTTCTTTTCTTAATGGAGATACTGGGGATCGAACCCAGGACCTCATGCCTGCTAAGCATGTGCTCTACCATTGATCTTTACACACCCCCCTAAACATTATATAGTAGTGCCACCTAAAATCCACATAACCACTATTAACACTTTGCAGTATCCTTCCAGATTAAAATACACACACACACTCACACGCATATGCATAGGACCATATAGTATATACAATTTTGTGATCTGTATTCTTCAGTCAAAGTGTGTCTTTGGCATGTGTCCATATCAATAAATATTTTTCCATATTTTTCTATAACATGACATAAAGGTATGGCTGAACTATAATTTATTTAACTCATCACTTATGGTTGGACATTTATCTAGCTTCCAAATGCTGCAATTATAAGCCACAGAGTAATGACGTTTTCGTAGTCGATTGGTAGAGAGCTAAATGGTCTTCAGTATTAGGATGAAGGTTTTTCATGAAGAACTGCTGGGTCAAAAGTCCTTTTTAAAGGCTTTGGCCCCATCCTGCCAGACCATCCGAGGCGGCAGCTTCCTTGTCTGTGAGCCCCCAGCACCTTACAAGGCTCAAGTCAGGTTTGTGCCTTCAATTTCCATCTCAAGCCTGGGATAGTCTAGGCTCCCCTTAATCAGAAATGAGCCTGTCTTTCTGCTGTTACTACCACTTACCAGCTAGGGGGCCTTGAGCAACGAACTTCCTCTTCTTGGGTTGGCCTTTTTGGACAATGAGGCGAGTCACCAGCATCCTTTAGAGCGCTGGTGGAAGATGCTGAGGTGTGCACAGTTCTCAGAAGGGAGTCTGGCCTGTGATGAGGGTACATGTCTGTTGCTATTACCTCCCACTACCTGGTCCTCATGCCTGACTCCACGCAGCCCTCCTTCCTTCCTTCCTCTCACCTGTGCTGTGTGCTGTGCAAGCCCCGCCCCCTCCTTGCTCCTCCCCTCCCCTTCCCCAGCCTTCTCAGCCTGTGCTCACCTCTGCCATTTTTTCCTTTTTCCTCCACCAAGTTGCAAGCCACTTGGAGAGCAAGGATCTTGACCTACAAGAGCTTTACAGATAG